AAGTCTAACTCTCTTGAGTTCTGACCTCTCGACTCTTATCTGGCTGCTCCTTTACGCCCACCCCACCCCCGCCATCCCTTCTTCTCCTCCCCCACTTCAGCTCTGCATAGCAGGGTGGGTTCCCTCTTACCTGGGGACCTCCTGCTACTTCCTGCTTGAGGGTGGGCGGGCGCTGTGGGTGACAGGGGCCGACTCCCCATTTTATAGTCTGGCAGACACCCGGCCTATGGTCTGTAGCACAAAGGCGGAGCTGGCTCAGCAGGCCTGATGGGGAGTGGGGGTAGGCATGGCCCCCCAGGTTACTGCCGACCCTGCACTTTTCTTTGTGAACCCAGGCGGGCACAGCAGAAACCCTGAGGGCAGGGAGCCACCTTCTGACCTGCCCTCTGCTTGGCCCCCACCACACTACTCTCCCACTACCCCCGCTGTGGGAAGGGCCAGTCATGGGGTCCCTACTGCTGTCAGCCGTGGACCAGTAAGCCAGCAGGGAAGAGGGGAGCCCTCAGGGGGTGAGGAGACCTGCATTTGAATCCTGACTTGGCCACTACATACTGTGGGGCATTTGGGCAGGTGTCTATCCCAGTGGCCCAATGGTTAATAAGCGCTCTGACACTAATCAAAAGGTTGGCAGTTTGAGCTCATCCAGCGACAACTTGGGAGAAAGACATGTTGATCTGCTTTTGTAAAAATGACAGCCTAGAAAACCCGTGGGGGTGGTTCTACTCTGTCACATGGGGTCGCTGTGAGTTGAAAATCAACTGGCGGCAGTAAACCACAGCAACTACCTTCGGGGACCTTGTGTCTGTAATGACAAAGTGCTCACAAGTGCCCCTGCTAAAGTGCTGCCTAAAGGGAAGCAATCAATGAGCAGGACAGTGCCTGGTAAAGCAGATGTGGGTATGACATCTATGACTATGCTTACCAAGTGCTTATGGGTATGAGGAACCCCTGGGTGGTACAAGCTGTTAATATACTCTGCTGCTAACTGAAAGGTTGGAAGTTTAAGTCCACCTGGGTGCACCTTGGAAGACAAGCCTGGTGTTGTACTTCTGAAAAGTCAACCACTGAAAACCCTGTGGACCAATTAAAAAATAGGAAGAGGACATGGACAGACACTTCATCAAAGAAGATATCTAGGCAGCCAACAAAGACATGAAGAAATGCTCATGATCATTAGCTGTTAGAGAGATGAAAATCAAAACAACAGTGAGATACCATCTCACCCCAGTACTGATAGCAAAGGTCATAAAAACAGAAAAGAACAAATGTTGGTGAGGGTGTAGAGAGACCGGAACCTTCATACACTGCTGGTGGGACTGTAAAATGGTGTAACCAGTGTGGGAAATAGTACAGCACTTCCTTAAAAAGTTGTAAATAGAAATACCATTTGACCCAGCCATCCCACTATGAAGTATATTGTTCTAGCTCCCTAGTGCTGCTCTGACAGGAATATACCACAAATGGGATGGCCTTAAAAACAGGAGTTTATTCTTACAATTTGGAGGCTTTAAGTACAAGTTCAAAGTGCCAGGCTCTAGGGGCTGGGTGAAGGCCCCTCAACCTTGGGGTCCAGCTCTGCCTCCTGCT